ACTTTAAAAATACAGTAACTAAAAAAATATGCCAACTGCAGTAAGTAATGGATAACGTCGATAATCGAATTATGTTACCTAATTTGCAAAACTTACACAACCGTCAACGACGTCTGCCCGCGTTCGGGTTGCGTTCTCGGCGTTGGCGCTTTGTTGCTTAGACTGCCCCTCTACCCCCGTCCATCGTTTTCTGTGGTCTTACAGTAGACGCGACGTGTAATGGCTTACTGCGTCGTGGTAACTTTTAAACGATTTGTGTAAATTACTTAAACTAAAAGACATACTATATTAAATACTTGAAACGACAATTGTATCAATTTTTATAAGAATTTGTGAAATATTCTAAAATGTGCATTGTAAAAAAGTTGTCAAAATAATCCTAACCATCTACGTTGTTCACGATATTTCATAACATGTTCAAATTACCAGCCCCAGAATGAAAAGTTCAGAAAATTCAGGTCAGGTGGTTGCCATTTAATAGGACCATTGGTTCCTATCCATCGTCCTGGCTTAGTTGTATTGAGGAAATCTCTGCAAATAGTTCTGCGACTTTGAGGAGCTGTATCATGATGGAAATACTGATATTTTCTCAGAATATTCAAAAGCAAATTTTCCAAATATAATTTCTCGTCAAAGATATCTCAAAAAAGTAGGGACCTATAATCTTGCTGTCTAGCACACCAAGCCAAGAATTAACTCAAATTCTCTCTTGGAAATTTGTAGTTTTATATAGGAAGGAGTTTTTTTTGTAGCCAGTAATAATGAATATTTCTGTTAACCCATCAGTTATTTGTGAATCTACTCTCATCATACCATAGAATTTTATAACAGATTTCATTACCATCACGATGTTGTCTGAGTAGCTTTCTACAGTTTATTTTTCCATCGTAGTCTGTTTAACGCAAAGGGAGGATTTTTCTGACTCAGTAAGGACTAAATTTATTGGGATGATGGATGAATTGGGCGTCAACTCCCATGGGGATTCTTTATGGTTTGAAACGTATTAGAAAAGTCAAAAAGCTCGAAAAGTAGGTTTGCCAAACCATCACAGTAGAGTCCTATTGTGAGGAAATCGACGAAATGTACCGAAAATTGCGTCAACAGCAGCCGGCACTGATAATCAGACAACGCCCGTCCGCACGTTTCACAAATCACTGTTTGAAAAAGTGTTTCTCGTTCAATGGAGTCGGTTGACCAATCGCATTTATCGTACCAACTAATATTAAATCCTCGAATTTGTCGATTATCTGACGCTCTGATTGAAATCAAATTTGGTTGAGGCCTTCCCAGAGTTTTAATAATATAAAATTTATTATCATAAGATAAAGACTTAAAATTATTTGTCAGCAACCAATCGACTACATCGTCAGATTCTTTAATTTCGTCCAACACTTTAAAAACACATTAAAATATTACCAAAAAGCACTGCTATAATATAATACTGCCTGTCTTATACACAAATAACAAATATTATCAAGAAATACTAAAACGATTTACCGGAATATTTTTTAGTCCCGGTCCGTCACGGTATCCCGTCCTTACACTCACGGAGACCAACTGGCTAGCCTCCTCTGACGCTATAATTTCTGCAACTGAAATTACAAATCGGGACGTATGTCTCTGGTTGGATCGATCTCGTGGAGCCTGTGTTTTTTAAAGCGGTCGGAGGCTTGGCTCCTTGCAACGTATGGCATTTATTATTTCGGGTTGATAGTTTATTCGTTATTCGTTCATGGGCGGTGCGTTTGAGTTTTGTTGATGCAGGATACAGTGTGGTACGTACTACGTAGTGAGTGATATTATGTATTTATATTAAAAATTATGGTAAAGTAATGATACCCAAGCATTTTTAGAAAAAAAATAATCATAATTATTTGTCAATATCTTTTAATTTATTGCGATGAATAGCCTCAAATTTTATGGGGAGGCTAAGCCTCCCTCGCCTCCTCTGACGAGCCGCCGCTGGACATTAATAATATATGTTATATTGTACTTATGATGCACTGTTTGGAACCTTTGGTGTAGTAATGAATATTACCAGAGTTTTTTCCCAACACCAAATCGGTGTTGGGAAAACACCGATGAAGATGATCACTTGGTAATCGAAACACGTGTCGAGGTGTCAAAAATAACGATTTGGTGTTGGAAAAAACTCCAGTAATATTCATATGTTATATCGCTTTTTTCTAATATAACATATATTATGATCATATACAAAGGTCTGTAAACATAAATATCAGCATTTAAATATTATATGAATAACAAAATTTGTTTCAAATTCATTAATACTATTCGCATCTTTTATACGATTAGGTAATATTTCATTATATTCTCTCAAGCTCTTATGGTTTCATTGCAGCAGTTAAATTGTTTTTTTGGTGAGTGAATTAATTGTCCCGTATTTTCTCTTGTTTGATGATTATGAATCTGAGATTTTGAATAAAGTATTCTGGCAAAAAATAACATAGTAACGAGTCTGTCATGAACCTAACATTTGTATTTTAGGTTCACTTTGTCCAGTGAAGCACTTATTCTCAAAAAATTCATCAGATCAGTTCATAACATTGTATTTCCTCAAATTATGATATTATTGTTTCTTAAAATTATTTTTCTTTAGGTTATGAAAATTTTAACAAACACCGTTATCCACATCATCCCAGTCATAGACAAGGCTTTTGAGCAAATATGGGGAGACTATAATAAAGAAGTTCTCGGTAATGTTAAACCTGATAAGTTTTTGTGCAACAACATCACAGCCGACTTTAAGCAGGTTGGCGAACAAATTCTCAATGCTGGAGGAAGAATCAGCGGTCATCAAGATCCCAAATCAGTTGCGAATGCCTTTAAACACATGCTTCTTGAAGAAAAGTTTGACTTGATGCTGAATATTGAAGGAGGTGGCAGTGGAATATTGTGAGTTCTAGTCCGATTTGTTGTTGTAATGTTGATTTATTCTTCCAATATTTAAATATTTTAAATAATCAATTTTAGGTATCCAACTACTAAAGATTCAATTGAAATTTACAAGAAGATAGCAGATAACTATAAAATGGCAGTGAAAATACCTAGAAGTTGTTCAGAATCCAACAAAGGTACTGACTCACTACTTACGGACTACCTCTACCATGAGTATTACACACCAGTGATTACATCAAAGGTCAGTTGTTGCGAATATCCCGCTATTGAGAACATTCCATATATTTGGAGGGATGTTTTGGATCCAATCATGACTGTACTTTCTAGTACACTAACTGGTGAGTCTTATAATTTTTTATTTAGAAATTTCATGTATTGAATTGTGTGATTGCGATGTGATTTCCATCAAATAAATCCATTGGTTTTTATAGTTCCAAAAAAATCAATGAATTTTGTGGAAGCCCATTAGTTTGTGGCAAATAATATCTTGGTCGTCTAATTCTTTTAAGTGTTTAATTTACTCAATTCATATCCAACTCTTTGGATAATATATGTCAAGTTGATGTAATCTATACAGATTTCAGCAAGGCATTCGATAAAGTTTCCCATCAACAATTATTATTGAAGTTAGATGCATATGGTATTTCCTCAAATATACAAAATCTACTAAGATCGTATTTGAATCATCGAAGTCTATATGTCGAGTATGATGGTGAAAAATCGGATGTATTTTTAGCACCGCTGGGGGGGTTCCCCAAGGATCTTATTTGGGACCGCTGTTATTTTTACTTTTTATAGGTGACATATGTGCTTCTATACAATCAACAAAGCTAATCTTTGCTGATGATTTAAAGCTTTTCAGAGAAATATGGGATTCGTCTGATTGTATGTTGCTTCAGAGGGATTTGAATTCACTCCAAAAGTGGTGTTGTGAGAATAAACTTTTTCTAAATGTTGGAAAGTGTAACATTATGACTTATGCTCGTATATTGAATCCATACCAGTTCAATTATACAATTGAAAATATCGACTTACCAAGAGTTAATGATACTCTCGACTAGGGAATCTTATTTGACAATAAACTTACATTTAATGTGCACCTTGAAAATATTGTTTAGAAAGCTTCTAAATCGCTGGGATTTGTTATGAGAAACTGCAAAGAGTTTAGATCATTTGAATGTATTCGTTCAGTTTAGTATAGTTTGTTACATAGATAGTAAACAATTTACATTGATGCCTTGGAAGGTGTTCAGAAGAAATTCCTCAAGTTTGCATATTATAAGAAACATGGAAACTATCTGGTTACAAATTATGAATACACTTGCCTTGTGACTGAATTTAATTTTGTAACATTGAGAAAAAGACGAGAAATTGCAGATCTCATTTTCATCTATAAACTGATCAATGGTCCCATTGACTCACCAACTCTACTGTCCCAAATTAATTTTAATGTACCTTGATATACGTCCAGATCAAATATCACATTCCGCATTAATGTACCCAATTCTCAGCACCTTTTCTACAGCCCGTTAACCTCTATGTGCCGAACTGTCAATAAATACTCTATAGATTCATTTTTTTCTACCCTGAATCAATTTAGAAATAGTTTGTATAGATTATTTCCTAGGTGAATATCAAAATGTTCACTTATACTTACATTTATCTAGAAATAGTTACCTGCTCTATTATTGTATACTCCTTTTATTGGGTCATGGCCCGTTGGATGTAAATAAATAAATAGGAACTTTCCTAAGAAAATTATGCAGGATAAAAAAGCATATTAACTATTGATGAAATATATAGAAGAATAAATAACAACAGCAAATATGTAAATAGCCCAATCAATAGGCCTTTTCATCACAATTTTTTTTTGTGCGTATGCATCAGTATCAGCCATCTTTTTGTAAACAACCATGTTACTCTTGTCAACTGAAATATATTTTCACTTGCATCAAATAAATTGACATTATTAATAAGAATAAAACTGTAAATACTATTTTTTTATATGTTTTTAGATAGTAAACAAATGCTGATACCTAACCTCTCAATCAGCTCACTTTTTTCCTTTTTGCGGACGCTCATGGCGTTTTAATCACCTTTCTAATTGTTCACAATTATGAGCCTCAACTGAATTATTAACAAGTGAAGCACCATCAATGGTTTTTACCCATAATTTATTTATTTGTAGAGATAATATTCCTTGCCCAGCCATTGTTGATTAAAACAGTACGAATGTTTTGAATTACCGCCATTTCAATATGACAGCTACGCTTGCGCTCGTCTTATGATGAAAAGGCCTATCTAAACACTAAGGTTGCTGTAAATTGTTTTTTGCGTGAAAATACGGACTTTCAACATTTTTTACGATACATTCTTGAAAAAGGTATACTTCCACCTTCATATCACATTTCACGATTCACTTCCAATTATTGGTTTCGTCTCAAAAGTTATATCCGTTACGAGGTCATGTGTTTTTGTAGCTCCATACCTCAATAAATATTTCTACTGTGTCGTTCTACATATTAATCAATATACAATTTTGTACTCTATACATTGTTCATTTTCTCCAAATTTCAACTTTTTGCCTCTTTTATTAAAATGTCGTTAAGCGATTTTCGGCCAATTTTGCTCTACGAATTCAAATTCAACCAAAGCGCTGCCGAAACAGACCTAAAAATTAACCAAGCATTTGGCATTGATGAAGTTATTGAACGCAATATTCGACGTTGATTTGCGAAATTTCGTTCCGGAGATTTTAGCCTTGAAGGTGAGTCCTGAAGTGGTCGATCTACAGTAATCCACGACGATGATTTGAGGACCCTGATGGAGACTGACCCATCACAAACTGTCCGTGGGATAGCGGATAAACCGAGCGTCAGCTCCCATCCGGTTTTTGATGGTTAAAAACACATTGGAAAGGTTGAGAAGCTCCAAAAGTAGGTGCCCAACGATTTGAAAGATCGACAGAAATTGTTGTTTCGAAGTCCGTTCTTCTTTACTTTCAATTGATTTAAAAACAGATTTAAACAAATGTGAATATATGTGTAAAGGTAAATCTGTGCTCAATCTCCTTCTCTTTTTATCTTTACTAGCTTGTAGTACAACTGACCCACCTTATATACCCAAGTGTATCAAAAATGGTGAATAAATACTATTATTTGGGCAACCAGAAAAAAGTGGATCCTCTACGACAACAAGTGACGTTCTGCACAGTGGTTTGACACCAATGAGCCTCCAGGCACTTTCAAAAAGCGAAAACTCACCAAAAAAAAAACCATGGTTACTGTATAGTGGTCAGCGGCTTGTGTGATTCACTATAACTTTCTGGCAATTGCAGAAGAGGTCCGATCCTGCTTCACGACAACGCCCGCCTGCACGTTTCACAAGTCACTATCCGAAAATTAAACGAACTGAGCGTTGAAGTTCTGCCTCACCCAGCATACTCCGCAGACCTCTCGCCAACCGACTACCATCTTTTCAAGCACTTCGATAACTCTCTCACCGGCAGAACCTTCGCCAATCAGCCCCAGGCAAAACGGCCTTAGTCAACTTCGTCGAATCCCGAGCACACAATGTTATGTCAATGGACCTGATCGACTTGTGTCATGGTGGCAAAAGTGTATTGATTCAAATGGCCCCAATTTTTGTTAAATTGCAGTACTCACTGAGATAATACCGTTTGAAGTAGACTCATAAAAACTGACAAAACTGTTGAATCAACCTAATATGGAATTATCCACGTATCTTCTCTTCTAAATATGATATAGACTTTAATGATACCAAATTTCAGTACATCCTCAACTTCATGCAAGCAACTGAATCTCAACAGTACAACTCGATAACGAATATTAATCATCGCAAACTGGATCTAGTTATAACCAACTGTAACGATTGTATCGTCTTTTGTTAACATAGACGTTCATCATCCTGCAGTTTCTATTTCGTTGAACTGTCGTACTCCTCATATCAATGACTTTGCTATTAATACAACAGATGCTATTAACAGATGCTATTAAGCAATTTAATTTTCGCAACGCAAACTTTCCAGCTATGTATGAACTGATCAGAACAACCGAATTGTGTGACGTTTCAGAATGTACAGACATCGACTCGGCATGTGATTTATTATATCAAAAATTACATAGCATCTTCTTTTAAACAGTTCCACTGAGAACAGTGAAAACACGTAAATTTCCCCCATGGTTCGACGCAGATGTTATCAGCCATATAAAGAAAAAGGAATTAGCATATAAAAAGTATAAGAAATATAAAACAGTATTTTTTCAAAATCAATTCTCGAATCTGAGAAAAACTGTCAAAACTAAAATAAAAGCAGCATATAGTCAATTTACAAACTTAGCTGAAAATAATATTTTATCTGACAGCTCCACTTTCTGGTCTTTCATACTAAGTAAAAAAGGTCATTCGCGTATACCGGCTATAATGAAACTTGACGATGAGGTATTTGATAAGCCTAGGGATATTATCAATGGATTCGCCAAGTACTTCAGAAGTGAATACTTGGTTTCGGACGAGAATATGCTTCGTGGAAATTCTCATTATTCTGATTTAGATACATTGAACATCCCTGCCTTCTCTAGAATCGATATTATTACTGTTTCAAAAAAATTAACAAAATAAACTCACCGCAGGTATTGACAATGTTCCTAGTCTTGTGATAAAGGAGTGTATCGACGCTCTCTCTATACCTCTAATAGGCATATTCAACTTAATTTCATCAACTTGTGCCTTCCCTGAGCAGTGGAAAACGGCTCGAATTTGTCCAATATTAAAAAAGGCTACTTTAGCGATATCACGAACTACAGGGCAATTTCAATTTTATGTAACTTTTCTAAACTCTTCGAGATATGTGTGCAAAATGTTATGTATTCCCATATTCAAAAAGTTATTTCTCCTACTCAGCATGGTTTCGTACAACAAAGATCATGTATGACAAATCTTGCATGTTTAAATCAATATCTCTGTACGTACCTGGATAAGCAAACACAAGTCGATGTTGTTTATTTAGACTTCCAAAAAGCCTTCCATCAAATAGACCATTATGTTCTCCTCAGCAAATTGACAAAATATTGGGACTCTCTAACCAACTGCTTACTCTAATTGAATTATATCTAGTTAACAGAAAACAATTCGTCGAATATGAATCTTTCAAATCGGCCCAGTACGTAGATACATCTGGGGTACCACAAGGTTCTAATCTAGAATCTCAACTGAACGTATCCAAATGTAAAATAATATAATTTACAACAAAAAAGCGAATTTTAATGTACGATTATTCAATCAACAAAACTATAATCAACCACGTACATGAGATAAAAGATCGTGGTATAACATACAATAGTAAATTAACATTTACAACACATATAAGGAATATGACTGCTGATACAAGTAGGATGCTTGGATCCATTTACAGAAATGGCAAAAACTTCAAAAGTATTGCCACCTTAAAATTGCTATATTTTGCGTATGCCAGATCTAAGCTAGAGTATGGCTCTGTATTATGGAATCCAGTTTACGACTACCAAAAAACATCAATTGAGAGTGTGCAAAGGAAGTTCCTAAAATACTTATGTCTAAAAGTTGATGGTCAATACCCCAAGAGAGGCATTGATCATAACATTTTGTTGACACGATTTGATGTGACATCTTTGGAAAATAGGAAAGTTATCCTTGGTATAAAATTCCTGCATAAATTACTAAACAACAATATTGACAGTTCGGTTCATTTACCCAAGATCAATGTCTTAGTACCAAGAAGTGAAGGTCGACACAATCTGAAATTTTATTGCGAAGCATCACACACAAATGTTATGCAAATGAATTTTATGTGCAGTGGCTACAATAAAATCTGTGAACACTGCGCTATTCATTTCGACTCTGAACGCCTTGGTATCTTGTATCCACAATCACTTTTAATAATACTATAGTTTGTGTTAGTACTGCTACATTGCATGATTTGTAACTTTTTATATTATATAATCAATTTTTCATTCATCTTTTGAAATTCTACTTATACGAATATGTTTTAGCATTTACTCTTATACATTTCTATATTCCATTATTTTTAATATTTACTTCATATATACTCTGTAATAAAAGCATTTCCTGTAACTGGGTACTCCTGTTGGAAATAAATTGTTTTTTTTTTCTTCTCCAAATTGGTTGAACATAAGAAATATAATAAAAGAAATGGTTAAAATTTTAATGAAAGCCACAGTTGCATGACGCCATGAATATATTCAATTCAGTCTAGGGGGGAATATAAACTACTCCTGAGAATACTAACATATTAAGTTTCAACATTTCTAAGAATCTCTAATATTAGTAAATGTTAATCTATTATATTTATTGATTAATATCAATTTATTATATTTATTGACATTAGTATGAGCTGTCACTTCAGTTGTTTGAATAATTATACTATTTCTGATTAACTGAACAAGTATATAAATACATATTGGAATATAAATATCAAATCCATTGGTATAGGTAGAAACTCAAAAAACATCCTCTCAGTTATCTCAAAACTCCTTTTCATAAAAGAGGACGTTTGCCTCTCCACTCATAACCGATTTTGGTGAAATTGATTACAGGTGTAAAACGTATTCGTGTCACGTGCTAGTGTAGGGGTGTTTGCAATATGCTGTGCAATGCCCTCTGTAAGTAGTTACACGACAAGTAGCCACATCTTCAGCTGCATAATTGTTCATATCTAATCCGTTTAGAGGAAATTCGATGGCAACATTTCGTTTGCCTCTAAATATTGGTGCATTTTTTCTATTCCTTGCACCTCGAACACGTCAATTTTTAATCCCCATTCAAATTTTCTCACCGGTAGAACCTTCGCCAATCAGGACCAGAGATAAACGGCCTTAGTCGACTTCATCGAATTCCGAGCACCTAATTTTTATTCTGACGGAATTCTCCGACTTGTATGACGTTGGCAAAAGTGCACTAATTTAAATGGCACTTATTTCGATTAAATTGAATGAATTTTCACTGAGATATTACAGTTCAAAATAGACTCATAGAAATGGACAAAACAAAAAAACCTCTGGAACAACCAACTTTGGTTTAATTTAACTTCGGTGATTTACATTTTCAAATTCGTTGCACGTTACACCTGTAGTGTTCTACATTGCAGTTTTGAACTTCACCTTTTGGATGTTATATTCTATTTCACCCAATAAAGACCATTATTATTATTATCATTTCGTTGATGAGACCTGTGAATACATTCAGTCTACATGACGAAATACTGTTCAACTACTTGTCGTTTATGACTTAGATCTGTACGGGCTGGTAAAATGTAGGTAAATATTTCCAAATTTCGATATGGCCCCGCCAACTAGATGCGCATTCATCAGAAAACGATAATAGCGAGAGAGAGATCGAATAATCTCAAGTATTTTCCTAGATTTGACAAGTTGTATTTGGCTTCACTTGTAATTGACGCTGGTACATCAGTAAACTTTTATTACTGATTGAATAGAATATAACAGAATAGAATATAATTTATTCATCATTGAAATATAAACATATAGCATATACATTACTGGTACAATATTTATCAGACTAGTCACACAAACTGATGAAAAAGCAGCTTATACATTCAAATCTAAAATTTCTTCGACATTTTAAAAGGCATTAAAGCTTTTTTGAATGTATTGTAATTTTCAATATTTCCTAGTAACGTAGTTGCTTTGTTATAACAAGTGACTCCTTGATAGCTTCCTCTGACTTTATGCCTCCAACTGTCAACTACGAACTGCCTTATAAAGTACTATTCCCGAGTAGAGAGGACTGGATCCTGCGGGAGAAGGAAATATTAAGAGCAGATAGTTGTTGGTTCACAGATGGATCAAAAACACCTTGCGGTTCTGGTGCAGGTGTTTTCAGTCGCAGACCCAGGACAGTTCCTACCTGCCTAGGAACTTTTGCGACTGTATTTCAAGCGGAAATTTACGCTATTGAATTGTGTGCGGAGAGATTGGACAAATCCAACCTCACTCACAAGTCAATAAAAATATTCTCGGACAGTCAAGCAGTGTTGGAAGCTCTTGGCTCCTACCGAGCAACGTCTAAATTGGTAGCAAACTGCCAAAAAAGACTCTCTTCGATAGGAAGACTAAACAGATTGTCCCTGGTCTGGATTCCTGGCCATACTGGCCTGGAAGACAATGAAGCTGCTGGATCTCTTGCAAAGGAGGGTGCTGCAAGCGGCTTCATTAGACCAGAACCTGTCATTGGCATCGCTTTAGGCTTTGCAAAACAAACACTGAACACCTGGATGGCAAGAAGAGTTATTGACTTCTAGCAGAATCTTCCAGGATTGGCTCACTCCAAGGCGTTTATTCACCCTTCGAAGCTTGATTCCAAACAGTTGTTGGACTACGATGTCTAACAGGCCTTCTTACAGGTCACTGTCATTTGAATCATCACATGCAGAGACTTGGACTGTCGGAAGACAGTGTGTGTCGCCTCTGCGACACACACTGGAAAATGATGAAACTGCAGAGCATATACTTTGTGCCTGCCCCGCTGGGGACCGAATCAGGTTCTTTGAGTTCGGCCGATCCGTACTCTCACCATGTGACCTGAAGACCACTCACCATACAAACTAATCTGCTTCGTTACAAAGCTGGGTTTATTTGGCAGAGTGTAATAGGTGTAAGCCACAATAAACCCTTATGGGTTGCGGTGGAGGGTCGAATAGACCCACTCACTTTAGACCTACCTACCTTGATAGCTTGCCGAGTCTTGCCCAAGGGTTAATCGTGAGTAAGGTAGTCTCAGTTCATTTCCTCTGCGAGTATTGTGATCATGTGTCATAATGATTTTGTATGGTGTGAATAATTTCTTTTGATATTCATAGTTATGAGCAAAATATATAAAGACGGTAGTGTTAAAATAGCTAGATCTTTAAAAACTGTCTTACATGATTGTCTACAATGTATGCCAGCGATAAATCTAATTTTTTTTTTTTTTGGATAACAAACATTTTTGTTAGGTATGCTGAGTTTCCCCAGAATATTAACCCAGATATTAGATTGTACTAGTCCGAAATAGGCCAATTTGAGTACTTCTAGAGATACTGTTCTATGTAGTTGTCTTATTATGAAGCAGACTCTACTGAGTTTTGTTATTAGATAATCTGTGTGTTTTCGCCAAGTTAACTTCTGATCAATTACTAATTCTAGATACTTATATTGATTCACCTGCTCTATAGATCTGTGATGTATTTTTATTAGTGAACATACTTTCGGTGAGCACTGAACAAACCACAAAAATTCCCTGAATTGAAGGGATTATATTTTTAGGAGTGATTAATTTTTGGGAAAGAAAGTTTTTGGCTTTCTACTACTCCATCTTGATACAAAAAACTGAGGGAATCTTCCAAAGAAAGAAAGAAAGTAATCGAATTGAAAATAAGTAACTCTATACATGGATGTGTAGATCATGCAAAGAAGTAACTTGGAGACACAAATTGAAAGAAAGTCCTTTCGAAACAAATTTTTCTATATGAACACTGAATTATACAGAAGGTACTTTTCTCTACTCAGTTTGTATTTCAAACATTCGTTGTGGAATAAAATCAGATATCAGATATGAAAGTAGAACCTATGTGAATTTCTTTCCCAAAAATTCCCTATATCATGAAATCAGGATGTTATAATGAACTCATAAGAAATTTATTGTGCTCGAATTATAATCGGCATTGTTGAATTTACATCAGCAAGTTCTTCTACCCTTCTATCCTGAGAATTGAACTTTTATTGTTTAGATGCTACACTTCATCGGACAATTTTGAATAGATACTTTTTTGAACGTGAATTTTTTTCAGGGGTCGAAGGAGTTGTGGAGAATACTCTTGGAGAGCCCATGCTAAATGCGACAATAACAATATCAGGTATCGAACAAAGCTATGAGGTGAGCAAAAAAATTGCCCATTTTAGAATGATGTTGCCGCCAGGCAATTATAATTTGGAATTCGCGTGTCACAATTACCAAACCAAGCTGATGCATGTAACAGTATCAGAAGATAGCTTATTATCCTTGAATGTGGTGCTTGTAAAAGATGGACAGGGTATTCCAGAAGTGTATCAAGGTACTATTGTTCCAGTCAAGCCACATTTTGAAGATACAAATATTTCTAAGAGCATGCATCAGCCGTTTTCGGGAGATATCAGTTCTGGAATAAGAGGTACCTTGCTAGCATACTCAATGGTATAATATTCATTGATTATTTTTAGGTTACACCCAAGACACATCTGACCACCCGATACCGCATGCCAATATATTCATTGTGGAAAAGAATTCAACTGTGGTGTCTGACACAAATGGAAAATATGAAGTACCTCTTCCTCCAGGAACCTATACACTCAAAGTGACAGCTCTTGGATATTTCTCAAACGTCAAGTTGGTTACCATTGATAAAGCTAACACTTTGCCAAAAGTAGTCATGGTGAAACTTGAGAAGGACAGTAGCCTTTTCGGTGTTCCTAGACTCGCTTTTGTTCTTCTCACAGGTGAGGGCAGAAAATATCAAAAAACTTATTAATAGATTTGAAGACCTTCACAGTTTAATTTATATAGGTGTGCATAGCTACTAATCACGTAGATGGAGATATCAAACCTGCTAAATGTATGGTTGATGACATGTCTACCTATCGATGGTATTGATCTTTGAAAACTGTCATAGTACCGGATAAAATGAGTAACACCCATTTACAAAAATAGTACAAAATCCGATATGAATAATTATAAACCTGTATCAGTTTTCCATGTCTTTTCAAAAATATTTGAAAAATTTATGAATTTCAAAGTTTGTGAATACTTGGTGAAAAAAAAAAAATTTATTTGAACATCAATATGGATTTGGTAAATTTTAAACTTCAGAGAAAGCAACCCAAGATGTCATACAACAAAAAAATATAGATGATCAAATATGTCACTAGATTTGTGTAAAGCTTTTGATACAGTTGACCATTCAATTTTACTGAAAAAATTGGATACTATCGGAATTGGGGGTGAAATTCACTGTTGGTTTGGAAGTTTTTTAGAAAACTATAAGCAGTTTGTGAATGTGGAAAATAAAATCGGTCAGCATAAATATTTAACACATGAGGTTTTACAGGGATTACTATTGAGACCTTCATTATTTTTTATTTATATCAATTATATTTCATTTTTGAAGCTAAAGGTTCAATTAAGCTATTTGCAGATGATACTACCATTATTTATTGTGGATCTGACTTTGATTCTATAAAAGATGGAGTCATTCATGATTTGAATAAAATGTCTTTCTGGTTTCAATTTCCTGAATTAATATTGAATTTTCCAAAACCATTTTATATATTTATAACCTGAAAAAAAGAGGTAATCAAATTTGAAAGTAATGATATCATATACAAAAACGGTACAAAATTTCTAGTACTATGATGAAAATCTTTCATATATTTCATATGATTTACGATTCAAAACTTCACAATATATCTAGCGAATGTATTTATAAACTTCCAGACTTAGAACCAACTGGAAATTTATATAAACCGATAAGGTTATCAAATTTGGATTCACTTCATCAATTGGCAATTTGTTCTTCAATTCATCTCACCATTATAAATAAAGCATATAGCAGTTTAAAATTCACTAAAAATCATTTCATTCATAATTATCACACGAGAATATTTCAGAACTTACTTCCAAGCAGAACAAAAACGGAAATCTTGCATAATGGTGTAATAATTTATAATAAGCTGCCAGCCAAGTTCAAAAACATGAAATTTGTTCTAAATTTCAAAGTATTTTTCAAAGAATATTTATTAGGTAAATAGTATTTTCCCTGTTGTAACCAGCCGATGTTTTTTAGTTAAGTTGAAAAGAAGTTGATGTTGAAGTTTCATGTTACAAGATACTATCTATACATGCTATTTCAAGGTTCAATTTTCAGACCAATACAGGAGATTAAAATAATTTTTTCAGTACATGGTACTGACGTATGATGTACAGAAGAGCACTTTTTTTTAACAGTGATCATGAAATATTATACATTCGGTTCACAAATTAAGTTATTTTCAACAAAAGAACATTACTTCTAAACAAAACTTGTCATCTTCAAATAATGATAACTTTTGAAGAAGAAGAAAGCAGAGTTTTTTTTCTGTTTTTTGGTAGCTTGCCAACTTTCAGTTTTAGACCACAGATATGAAAGATTTTCTCTACTGTCCGACCGAAACTGGGTTTTACGACCGAAACCCAATTTCGGCAACGGTCTCAGTTTCGGCTAAAACCGAAACTTCCTTACAAGAATTATGTTTTAAGGGAAAAATGAAGAAAACATTATTATAATCAGTCAGTCTTTATTTTTTTTATCTTTAAATCACAACGTTATGCAGTGTTCGACGTTTTTACTTATTGATAATCAACATAACAACCTCTTATTTAAAAAAAAAATAATTGCACCTTAAAAATACTTAAAATAGGTGAGGTGTTTATTTGAGTAGGTGTAGATTTTTCTTTTGAATATTACTAATGGTTTTTCAAAAATATGAAAAATAAAATTACTTATTTAAGTGGTTACCTAATATCACAATATTTACTTTATGTAATAAACAAAGTAAGTCACAACATGATTAGGGCACGTGGACGCGGCAAAATGTCTTCGTCGCTTGTATGAAATTCAGTTCGCCGAACACGACCTATCACAGCGCGAGAACTCCCGAATGCAGTTTCGGTTTCGGTCGTAGTTTCAGCAGGTTTGCCACCGAAACCCGTTTTTGTGCCGAAACTTGACCGAAGCAGAATTTTCGGTCGCACACTAATTTTCTCACATTTTTGAATTGCACAAATAACACAAAGAATATTTTTTTGAAAGCGAAGTTATTGATATTTATGCTTGTTAGTATTTCAAGTTAGTTTTTTGAGTATCACTTTATATTATGATGATGATAATATACTTTATTATACATGAAATAAATTATGATTCCAAAGCAAAAGTGATAGGATAAAGTATACGCTGTCTGTTAAAATGAGGTAATTTTCATTTTTCTCAAAAAATATTTATTTATTCATCTATTTCTATTTTGTCCCCCTCACGTGCTAACGTTTTTACAATCTTTGAAGCAGTTCTGATATGCCTTTCTTTGGTATGTCCTTGAACTCTCTCGGCGATTCAGTTTTGCCTCCTCAGTCGTCGTAAAACGCCGTCTTTTTACGGATCTCTTCAATCTTGGGAACAGGAATAAGTCGCGGGGGACCAAATCTGATGAATACAGTGGCTGAAGCATGATTAGGGTATGGTTTTTGACCAAAAAATTACGAAAAAACAATGACGAGTGAAGAGGTATCGTGATGCAAAAGCCATGAATTGTTTTTCCACAGTACCAGATGTTTTATTTGTATTACTTTTTGTAAACGGCGCATAACTTCAAGATAATACTCCTTATTGACCGTATGACCATGTGGCAAGAACTCTTGGTGTACTACGCCACGGTAATCAAAGAAAACAGTGAGCAAAACCTTTAATCGAACTTGGCGTGCTTTTTTGGTCTAGGCTTTTCAATTGGGACGACTGGACCTTGCTTTCGATGTCATAACCATGTACCAATAATTCGCAACCAGTATGATCCTTTCAACCAATGGATCGCCGTTGTGGTCATTCAATAATTCCTGGGTGATGCTCATGCGACGGTTTTTTGTCAAAACTTATGCTGCCACATGCTTCATGCCCAAAATTTTCGAAAAATTTGCGAGGCATGAGCCAACTTGTCTAATAATGATTCGACCTTCTGTGTAATACACGAGACAAAATAAAGACAAATTTTATATACCATTTTATAAGTACAAGGTGACAGAAAACTCTGCTTGTTACCTGGGACCAAAACTTTTTAATAATCTTCCACAAAAGATTAGGGAAACGTCGCCTGAGAAAATTTTAATTTCTATAAAAAGATTTTTAATCAACAAAAATCCCTACAAGATATAGGAGTTCCTTTTGAAGTAGCGCTGCAAATATTCTTATGTATATGTAGATTATATATGTGTATATGTGTGTGTATCTGTGCATTTGTGTACACATAAATTAAAGTTATATATTTCCATTTATATCTCTATTTTATTATAAACGTGACCAATTACTGTCTTATTTTAATAACATGTATTACTTTTACTTTTACTATTATTACGTATGATATTTTCTATGTACCTGACGATTTCTATATGTGTTTTGAACAGTCCACGTACAATGTCAAATGAAGTAAAGAACAATACAACCACAAACAATTTCATCTAAGTCTGAATCTGTATAGAAATCCTAATAATATACTTTATAGAATAAAATAGTAAATGTATGAGAAGTACTCTTCAAGATTATAATAAGCTTTATAATAGGCTTATAATTAATTAAGCTAACTACTCGTTTTAGATGCATGCATACCTACTTAGCTTGGTCAATAATATGTAGAAACATAAAGAACATAATAACAAACTGCTGTAGCTTTTATGTTTTTTTTTTATTAATACAATCTAGAAAAAATGTAACGCTTTGAAGTTTACAAATATTCATTGAGTTGCATATCGATCCTTTAGTTCTAAGCAAATGCTAACTTGCCAATGCTACTAAAAAACTCTCTCAAACTTAGTAACAGCTCAACAATACAAATAACCATTAAAAAAATTCCGTCTAAGAAATTTACAATTTCATAGAAATGAAATAGTTCATTGTGCAATTTCGCAAAAATTAAGAAAAGATTCAAAAGTATAATAATCTACATCATTGTTTTAGTACCTGATCTGAATAGCTTAATGATTTGCTTTTATGTTCTTCATCATTCAATTATTTTCAGGTATTGTATTAGCTGGCATTCTTGGATTAGGCACGGCATGTTATATGATGTGTAGACGTAAAAGCCAATATGGTCTTGTACCTCAACACAGCTTTTATGAAGATTTCAAATACGATTTCAGAGATGAAGGCAAAGAAAAAGAACTTTTCAGAAGACCACTGAGTAAGTACTAGTTCTTATTTTTTAAATTCTACACAACATAACATGTGTTATCACTTTACATTTCTATTTCAAACTACTTAATTTATTCTGTCATGATATGATAATAACTAATTACTATATTGAAAAAATATATAAGCAGTTAATTCCTTATCTCTTCCGAAAAATCAATAAGGAATATCAAATAAGTATTTCATGTAAGAAACTAAGAGTTGAAGAAGTTTAACAAAAAAAATGTAGACGTATTTGTTGGTTTTTTGTTCTCAGAAGTAAACTCTGAGCAATTTTTGTATACATATATACAGTGTGAAATGAGAAGATGCTCATAAAACACATATGTGTGTGCGTGGGGGGGGGGACTGACATAAAACATATATTTTTCAACCGATTGGAATATGTTTTTCCATTGAATAGATAGACATTCGAAACCTCTCAAAAACCAAATTTTATGAATACGCCTTATTATCACAAATTTTTTGGTGATGTTTTCTGTAAACAAACGTTTTATTATTTTCCGCTGTGGTCATAAATTGTCTGTCATGAAGATTCGCAATCGAAGGTTGGAGTTTCAATAATACTACTGCTAGAAGAGAGGAGAAATGTTGTTTCCGATTTGAATTTTTCCACATAGATCCTCTTCGGCTCCGGTGATTCCCAGAAAAACTTCTTAAAAGCATTTTCTTCCGACTCCTTTCAAGCTTCTTTTCAAATTTTCTCGAACGATCAAGAAGCACAAGTAGAGTTGAGCGCCACCATGGCCAAGTCACAGTTGATCGACGAAGACCAGCGGCGGCCGCCGTTATTTATTTCAAGGGATAAATTACAACAATTATATATTAATGCATATTTCATTATCAACATGAAATCTGTATCTACTGTTCAAAGCTCACTGGCAAGCTATAGTAAACATTTTTCACTCCAATCCTAAATTTTGTCATTGATAATTCTCTTATCATAGACTGAAGGTAATTGTAACTTTTGATTCCCATATACAGAACCCCCATATGGGTTTTATTGTATCTGTAATTCAAAAGAATTATCGACTGATTTCTGGTTGAATATGAATGTACATCCGCTGGACGTGGCATAGTGATACAGAGTGAATATTTAATGATTTGCGAAGTAATTTCGGTATGATTCTCTGCATGGAATACCAAATATTGTTCGTATTACTCTTTTTTTTTATGATAAAGGAGGAATTTGAATCAACAGAAGGACCCCTAAACTCAATACCAAATTTCAGAAGGCTGTGAAAGTAGTCATAATATACGTTTTTTGCTACTTCCTTGTTTATGTTTATTCTTTTAGTTCTGATGGCAAAGAAAGCTTTGCTCAATTTTTTGTTCGATCAAGAAATATAATCTTACCAAAATCAATGATGAGTCCCAAAAAATTTTGAATTGCTTGAAGTATTCATTGATTCAGCATTCACAATTATTTCAATGTTTCAGTTTTTTTTTTCATAAGGATTGAAAAATATGGACATCATTTTAGATACATTCAGAAGAAGTTTATTTGCACTGAACCAATTTACTACACCATTCATCATTCTTTGTGATAAATCAATTACTGATTGAACTTCTGGGTCACGAACAAAAAGGATAGGTACATTGGGAAAGTTACGCATAATATCGTTGACGTAGATGAGAAATATAGTAGGACCGAGAATAGAACCCTGCGGAACCCCTTTATTCACATCTGCCTTGTCTGAGTAATAATTCCTTATATGATTATTTTTAATAGCCTCGATTTTATCTTGGATTCTTCTTTCACACAGATAAATTTCAAACCATTTTCAAGGGAATTAATTCCTCATATGCCATAATACTCAAGTTTATTCATGAGAATAGAATACGGAATCAAATGCTTTATATAGATCGCAAAATATTGCCAGAGGATTTCTATTAACTCATTTACATATTCAGTTGGAGCAAATGTGGCATTCGTTGTGTTTCGAGTATGGCGAAACTCAAACTGGGAGTGTGTGAGAATGGTCCGTTTATTTGTGAATCATTCCAGAAGTTTTGAGAAGCTAGGTAGTAGTGAGATAGATCTATAGTTGTGGAGTTCTAATTTGCAGTCTTTTTTGTGAACAGGTGTTACAATTGAAGTTTTAAATAAATTCGGGAGATTTCCTGTGGTCATAAGTCTATTGAATAATGTTACTTGTTTATGCGTTTCAACTCATTGAATAATAATTTGTTCTAATGTTTGATTTGTTTGTGGAGATAATAGTTCTTTATCAGTCATTATTGCACCAAACAGCAATAAACTTTTAAACTATCTCACGCCACATGATGCAAAAAACCTTTGAGTCTTCGTTTTCAGGGCCAACTTTATCGCCTGATCTAACTCCACTCGATGTATTTCTATGAGACTATCTTAAACAAGGAAAAACAAGGAATCAAGTGAAGCTGGAAGAAATGCAGAAATTACTTCGTGACACTTACGGAACACATTAAAAAATGTTGACGATATGATAAATGCATTGGCATGAATGGAGGTTTGGTGGAGGCCACAGAAGTTTGAATTGTGTTTCGAATGCGTTTTTCTTTGATCATTCTTATTCTACAGTGATTGTGAATAAAAGATTGATTTGTTTCTAAAAACGATATTTTTTTCCATTTTTCTATACTTATAACTTTTTTGATGAATTTTGATGAAAGTTCTTTGGTTGAATTGGTGGGATAATTGAATGACATTAATTTTTCGAATTTAATGCCCTTATAACTGTTTTACTGATGAACGCAAAAGTAATTTTGACAAAGAACCATTTCAAAACTTCAGGAATTTAGTGGTATAGTAAACTTTTAATTCGCTTATAATTTATTGGCCCTGAGAATAAAGCCTCGTTCATGAAATTTGGTATTCTAGTAGACTACTGAAAGGTCTACTTAATGAAAAAAAATCATTTTAATTGGTTGAAAGATACATGTTTCATAAGAATGCTTACACTTCAAATGAGCAACCCTGTAGATGAATATCACTATTTCTAACAAAATTACGATCGATGGTGTTAAATACATATAACTTTGATTTGAAATTTCTGTACTATGGTTTTCTTTGCAGTTTTCTAGTCTAGTAATAAACATTACATGAAGGCACAACAGGATCTAGAAAAATTAGTCTCAAAAGTTTATTCTTCAGAAACTATTTCAACTATATCACAAAATCTATTTGTATTACAATTATTTCAAGTTTAAGTGATGATATAATTTTCAGTTTAGTGTAAGTTCTTCTGAAAGGTATAAACGTCTGTAATAAGTTCATATTTCGGTGATCTCAGTTTGAAACTTAACATATGTTTTTAGTTGGATCTCATCTTTAAACGACATATGTTTTTAGTTGAATCTAACTTTGAAACTTGACATATGTTTTTAGCAAATTTTGTTCAGTTTTCCTCTCGTTTATTTATTTCTCTGTTCCAACAGCAAAACCACTTACTAGACCGTATTACGACGACGATGACGGTGAAGATGACAATTTTGAATATGCGGCTGATGGAACCACCAGTGAATCTGATGAAGATGTTATTCTGATACCACATCAAAAGTGATGATTGAAAATGAGAAATACTTCACTTGAAAAACGTGTCATCTCACGTCTTACTTCTCATTTTATATTTCCATTTGCATATGCTCAGTTCCAGCTTTCCCTTTGGTCTACAACAAGAAGGCACTAATTACATCTAGGTTTTCAAGTGACAATATAATCTAGAAGTGAATCGATTGAAGAGGTAACAAAAACATATGTGATGGAATAGGTCCATACTTGATGGAAATTCATAACTCATTCAAGTAACATTTATTGTGAGCTTTTCACTGGAAAGTTCACAAAACTACAAGTATTTCATAATACAATAGCTTTTTCAGTCGTATTCATACTAACTAAATTCTACATGATTCAATAATAATTTGAATAATATAACTTCCTGCCTACCTAATTATTGATAATTTCACCTTTGAATCTACAGATTTAAACATTGAGAAAGAATCTTAATGTCGTTTGAATGTATAATCCTCCACAATGTAGGACCATAACCAGGATGACATCGACGCTCTTTTGATTATTTGAATTCAAAAGGACCAACGATAAAATCAACATTATGAAGGGTAGTTACTAATCAACTTCATTGTCTTGACTCAATAATCAAAAAATCTATAAATACTCCTGATATGATTGTTTATCCAAAGAAAACTGATACTAATAGATATCTCCACTATAAATCTAATCATGAAGCTGGTGAAATATTCAATAATATAAAATATATAAGCATGAAAAGGAATGCCTCAAAAGGCTCCTGGAAGGTAAAGAAATAAATTATAAATTATTAGAAAACAATATCAGATTACTCCAAGAAAACAAATTACTTCTGGAAGAAAAAGTGGCACATCTAAATGAAGAGTTGGAAACAAAAAATGAAGCTAATAAGAATAAAATAGAAAACGAAACACTCATCATATCTATAACCAAAAAAATCATGGACAAAAAATAAAAATGATTACGCATGTTATCACTCCAATAAATATCAGACCCCAGAAGATCATAAACAGTGTGATCAAAGTGGCAATGCAACATTGCAATGCAATGCCACAAGGGATCAAAACAAGCCAAAATCATACACTTACAAAAAGACATGAATAAAGAGGAAATTTTCATAAAAGTAACGAGATGTCTTAAAAGAGGCATGGAAGGGATATCAATGAAAAGAAAATTTGGCTATTCCTAACTAGAATTCCAGACACAATTAATGAAGAAAATATAAAAACATACGAACACTAGTGTAAATAAACTACCAACCAGAAGATTCAGGCGGGACAACCAATCCTTCACGATCGGTGCAAATTTATGAGAACAGTTTCTGGCCAAAGTAGGTGATATACAGTCGTTTCAACTTCAGATTGGGTCAACACTGTCTAGACAATCCGCTTCAATTTCATCAGTTAGAAGAAGAACAAAAGAGACAAAACACATTCAGATACAAAACAGGGACCGAAACGAAGGAAATTTAATAAATGGAAAGACCAGCCTAACTGAAAATCTTGTATTCAATCACCAATTGATCATCTTCAAGAGGAAGATTAAACTCAGTTCAATTTTCCTCTTGAAGATGATAATCTTTCTCTTGAAGATGATCACAAGGTGTTTGAAACACGTGTCAAGGTGTTAAAAACAACGGTTTGGTGATAAAACTCCAGTAATATGCATTACTACATCAAAAGTTCCATACAGTATATCACAAGTTCAACTGCAGAGTTGAAAAATCTTCACATTTCCATTTCAAAAGTACATAAATTTCAAAATATTAAACGTGTTGTTGAATGCAACTTTATGTGTTTAATACCTATTACTCATTTGGATCTGTATACACGACAATTCTTATAAATTAGGTAGATCTGTGTATTACCACGTGTTGTAACATTATTTGATACTGTTTTAAAAGATGAATGCATATATTTCTATTCTATTCTATTCTATAACTGTTTGCAAATTCGCAAGCTAATTTTTTTGTGTTTGGAAACGGAAAAGGATTATTTTGTTGTTGTTATATTATTAATGTTATCTTCAGCGAACTTGGACTTTCAGCCTCACTCGCTTCCTACTACTCATTATTTGAGTCCCATATACGATATGAAATTTTATTCTGGGGTAATTGTAGCTAGGGTCTCTTACAAAGTATATTCGTGTTACAGAAACGAGCTCTGCAAGTTATATTCAAAGTCAAGATGCGAGAATCATGTAGGTCAATTTTTTCCGGATACAAAATATTAACTCTATTCCAATTATTTATTCTAGAAACCGTCTATATGTTACATAAATACAGAGATAGGTTCGTGAATGCTCATGTAGAAAGGCACAGTCGCCAGGAGAACAAACTTGTTCTTCTTTTTCCCACTTCCACCCTGATGAAACAATCCTTGATTCACAGAAGAAAACAAATTTATTATCATTCACCCAAGGTGATAACAGACAAAAATAACATAAAGCAATTTGGAAAATATGTTAAGAAACTTCTCAACTACACCTTATTCTCACTTCAAAACAACTGATAAATACGTACGCACCTGAGCGTGATAAGTTTTGAGGTTAACCTGCTAGACGACGACGTGGCAACGGAGCGTACATGCCTAGAAGAGTGAGAAAGGCGCTGGTAGAGGGTGCCGGATTATTGGACGTATCATTGAAATGCCGGATTAGTGAGATTGTACTGGAAAAAATTCTCTTCGTCTTCTTTCAGATCATTGAAAAGATGCTGAAACCCTCCCAGATTTACCCTCTTTTGATTATTGGGATGCACCCACAACACTCTTTTTTGTGACTATTTTGTTCTACAATCTTCTACACTATAATGACGACTTCTTCGTCAGAACTGCTAGTGATAGACGTGTTTCTGTCACCGCTCGATGTCAACTGAAATTCTCGTGAAATCGAACAAACAGCACCTTCAGTTGCTGGTTGTAGCTGGACAAGTGGGCGATGCTACTACCTGGCGCCATCAGGCGACGAACAGCGCTGTGCTGTGCCGGACAAGTAGGCGACAAACTTAACGTACCCGCCGGCGGACACCAAGACGTGTGAACAAAAACATTCACTATGTCAGTGGACGTTAGCCGGATTGATTCTAATTATATTATTTTAGTACCGACTTATGTAATTGTTTTCAATATTTTTGTAAAATAAACACGCAAGACGTATTTATGTAGACGTATGTATTTCTTTTTGAATAAAATATTTTATTTGTTTTATCACCTAACGCTAAACATGTGTATCTATTGCTAATTTGTATTAATTTTTAATGAAATGCTTAGCACTAGTCAGTATTTTTTAAAGGGGTTCACCGTGACCTTGAAGATCTAATAGGGGTACGTGGGACAATCAGTTTGAGAAACCCTGATAGAGAAATAGTTAACATATCAGTATTAGTTTTTCTGTGAACTGTGAGATGCAGAGAGCGATTTATTCATACTTTTAATTTGGGTTGTTCGTCATTACTTTTTATATTTTACCGTGTGAGTGTTTATACAAAATGTTTATTGTTTTCAATAACCAATGACTTGAAAATTTTTCAATTTTTAATATGTACATACTACGAAATTTTCGTTATAATCTTACCATGTGACCCTCTATACTAAAATGTAAATGTTTCAGGTATAAGATTATGTTGATAACTTTTCATTAACATACCATAAAGGTATAAACGAAATTGATTGTCAGTTGAACTTTGTCGACAAAATGTAAAATTTTAGACAATGAAGCTTATCCAAGGCGTAGGCAAAATTTATAAATACAACAAGTTACTGACTAATTGGACTCTTCAGTGGTTTATAATACGCAGTAACTTTTCGAGGTGAACTTTTAGATTCGCCTTTATTACACTATTACACTTTTTCAAACACAGAAAGAACCTTTTTTATAGACTGAAAGAGCGAAAAAGTAGTTTCTCGAATGTGAAGATCCATTCCACATTTGAAAACTATCTTATGACAGAGAGACATTTATTCCCTATCGACTTTGAGGTGTTACATTTGTAAGATAGAGGTTTGAATAGATTCAAGAATTCATAACATTAATTGAATGACTCCCTTTATTGAATCTGTTTTCTAATGTTGAAATTGGTAATTAGTTGATATGTGAACTCAGATAATTTACTTTTGTTGCATGCCAATTTAAATGAGTTTATAAAATTTCTTTCCTAATGTATAAATTTGTAATTAGTTTACACCTAAACTAAGGAAAAATTGTATTCTGTAAATAGGCAGTAAGTCATATTATTCAAATTGTTAATTTATATAAGGCAATAATTAGGTAGAATTCAGTTAGTAGTATACTGAAACACATGTTTAGGTTTTGTAAACTGCTTAGTGAAAATTCCACAATAAAGTGTTGCTTGAATAAAAATTTTTAGATATATGTCGATATACTGATATGTCAGAATTAATTTATTGTGTATATGTATACCTGTAGTTATAGAGGAGGAACTTATTTTTTTACAATCCAGTATATTTGAATATTTGTATATGAAAATATGGACCTTCAAGGATGTTCCTCTACAAAATGATTCTTTTACTATTTTTATCAAATTTTGTGAATGTATTTTAATACTTATTGAGATATTAATTATAAATGTTCAGTTTGTCCCATATATTTCAAATGGGTCAAAAGTTTATGCACCCTCTGCCAATGTGCTTCTCCATTCAAAATATCTATGACTCTGAAATTCAATAACTAATATCTCAATAACTATATTACAGAAGTTCAGAATGTCACATCTATTTCAAACTTGTTGACAGGATTCATTCTTGCGATCGAGAGTAAACCCTTTATTCTAATTGTACTCGAGGAAACATCTCAATGTATACATTCCAGTAGAATTTGAATGTACAAATCATGTCTATTTTGCACAATATGAATCTATTTTTCAGATGAAAATCCTGGTAATATCAAAAATGTTGTGCTAGTATATACCTCATCTATGTGATTGGTTTTTTTTGTTAACTCAAAATAAAATAATACTCGAATACCTAAACTTTCAACAACATATTCAGAGGGCAAAGATGTAGAAACACAATTGTTACCAAGTTACTAACAGACCATTGAAAATTGAAAGCTTTTTGATCTTTTATATAATATTCAGTTTTTAACCAAAATGAGTGATGAGAGATTCAAAATACATCAGAATGGAAATCAGGAACAAAATGTGAAACAGCTTATATTCTCTATTAATAATGATATACATATCTTCAGGTGCTATTATATTTGCGATACTTGACTTCTCTTTTACATACCTGTGTTTGTTTTCATCTGAAAAATTTGTTATTTTATATATTTTTACTCTAATCCTTATTTTCCATTTTGATTATTTACTGAAGAATCTTCCTGTAAGTAAAATGTAACAAAATAAACTATTTTTGAAATAGTTATTCTTTATTGCCACTCCATCATTGAGTCAATATGAATATTTACATTATCAATATCAAGATAAACATGTGTAAAATTTGTAATAAAATCAATCTGTCAATAATAATTCCAACAGTGATATGTGCTTCATGATAGATACTCACAGCATTCAGTCATTACAAATCCTGACTTTTTTTGTAGATGATACAAACTCATACTAAAACACCAATTATTGTTGATCATATTTACATAAATAGACACTTTCGAATGATTAGCTAAGTTCAAGTGAAAATAATCTGTAATTCTAGCATATTGGAAAAACTAATCTATTCAGTCTTTAAAATATATTCATGATATTCAGAAATTACTATACATTTCTATAATTATTCAGAGATACATTTTGAGCGTCATTTTTGCCTAGAATCAAACTATGTCCTAAAAATGTTGAGCACAATCATAACTCCCATACAGACAATGTAGACGACAAGTGCGGCCCACCACAAATAGGTCTCCTTCTTGGACGGAATAAAATTTTTCAGAACCCATATTCCAACTAGTAAACCAGCAAGGGCACCTGCGATATGAGCCATGTATCCAATGTTTTCATCTAGATTAAGCCAATATCGATTGTAGATAGCAGTGCCGACATCAATGGAAGTTATTAAGAGAAAGAACATCAATTGGACCAGGGGAAATGTCATCTCACTCCAATTCTGAACAAAAAAAATTGATATTTTGAGTTACTTTTTATTGTACCAAAAGTAGGCTGGTTAGAAATTTTTTTGTTCTTTGAAACTTTATTAGAACTATAAAACACAAATCAATTCACTGAATTTATTTAAAAAAATCACCTCGAAGGTGCAAGTTCGTTTCCTCCTGTTCATAAAAACAGACATAGAGATTCAGTTTGGAATAATGTCCTAAAAGGGTAAATTTGTATACTTGATATCAACTCAAATAGAAAGTGATGAAAATAGAACAAAATGGTTTACTCAACAGCTGTCATCTCTTTGAACGCATCCTGAAAAGTCAAAACTTTTATGAGGTAAGGATTAAAAAGGTTTTACATTTCAAGGTGACGATAACAAGACAAAACATAATGCACTATAAATTGAAAACGGTATATTTTTCAGGAGAGAATAATTTTTGGAGAAAAAAAAATTTTGGCTTTCTACTTCTCCATCTTGATACAAAAAAATGAGTAGAACAAACTCATTCTGTGACATAAAGTCGTAATTTTATGAATGAAATTAGCGTTTTTTCTTAAAATGATATTCATATTTGGTACTGAAGAGCTGATAAGGCAATTGTCTTACAGCGAAACATCGGATATCTACCAGTGAGGATGACAGTGTTCCATGTAAGTAAATTTTACCTCTTTCATTTACTATATTGTGTAGGAATCCTGTGAATTTCAATTCCATATCGAATCTTTGGAAATAAACTGAATAAAGAAATGTGTTTTTTGTATAATTCAGTGTTCATATAAAAGTGTGTGTTCCGAAAGTATTTTTCTTTCGTATAATCCAATGTTTTTATGAAAGAAGTTGTTTCGAGAGGACTTTTCTTCCAGTTTGTGTCTAAAAGTTACTTCTTTGCATGATCTGAACATCTTTGTATAGAGTTACTTTTTTGAAAATGAAGATTTTTAGATTTTTTTCAACTGTTTTTCAGTGTTCATCTATTAGCAATAAAAATCAATATTGGGGAGACATATTTTTCAAGAATTGGAAAAAATGTCTTACCATTATGATAGTTGCGATATGTGCGGTTATAATAGCGTACACCCCTCCGCTGGCACCGGCTAGGTATATACTTGGGTCACTAACAGATGTAGCAAGTGAACCAGCAAGAACTCCAGAAAAGTATACTAAAAGTACTCTCCACCAAGTATGAACCATCTCTAAAGGAACTCCAAGAATTATTTGATGTGACCCTCTATACTAAAATGTAAATGTTTCAAAGTTGCATAAAATTTGGCATATGGATATAAAATTGCCGTAGACACAACTTTTTCAAGTAACTTTTTGTTAACTTCGATCTAGAAATGGACTTTTCAATTTTTTTCAAAAAAAAAATTGGATTTGACAAACACTGAACGTCAGTGGGTCGAAGTTGGCCCCATCATTTTGAGTTAAATTTAAAGCACAAACAAGTGCCGAAGTTAAACTTCATTGAAACTTTTCGAAAAAAAAGTTTCCGATATGGTGCGCACTTTAATGGTGACACTTTATAGGTATGTATATGTATTGAATCATGAAAATCAAAAGATAAATATATGAGTACTATTCTGATCATTTCCATATTGATTTCAATTCAAGGGTCAAGAAAAGTATCTGTGTTATTTATTTGATTAGTTTTGAGTTATTTATTTATTTTTTTGATCTTATTACCGTTGGATTATTGTTGTTATGGTGTTGTTGAAAAAGAAGAGTTTTCTATGTAAATTTGACATTGTCAATAAAATTTGTCCTGACGAAAAGTGGATATTTTTTGGCACGAAAGTTTGATACGAAGTTATATAGTTGTGTCAAAAAATCATAATTCAAGGTCTATACAGCCAGAGAGTTTTTTGGATAATTAAAGGATGATTTGAGGACAGGCAGTATCAATCATAAGAAAAGGCAAGTGGTGCATAAAATTCAAACAAATGAAGATAATAAATTAGCGCTGATGCTTTCAATAGTTGAAAATCATTCATTGAATTAAAACAAGGACTCTATGAGACGGATTGTAATACCAGAGTTCGGTATTGCAAAAATTTATTGAATTCAATTAGCGAAAAACCGAATATTTTGAAAAATGTTTTGTTATCTGACGAGTCCACATTTAAAAGTAATGGCATGGTAAATAGATATGATATGCACTACTACTCAACAGAGAACCCCCACTGAATAAAAGAAGTTGATAACCAAAACACATGGTCGATAAATGTTTTGGAGGGCATAATTGGGGATCAGGTCATATATTTTTTTGATGGGCCTCTGAATAGAGAAGTTTATAGAAATTTCCTCCGAAATGATTCAGTAACTTTGTTGGAGGATGTACCGATTGACACAAGGCTTATGTTATATTACCAAGATGGTGGCGTGCCTCTCCGTAACCAAAATCGGGTAAGGAGGTTTTTTCAACAGGTGGGCTGGAAAAAATGGACCCATTCACTGGCCAGCACGATCCCCAGACCTCACGCCCCTAGATTTCTATCTATAGAGATAGGGTACAGAGGAGGTCTATCGAGAGAAATAAAAGACACCAGAAGACAAGAACAATAGGATCAGAAAAGTTTTTTGGTCTATTATAAGATCAACTTCAAATTAAGTTCGAAGGGAAATTGTTGAAAAACTACATCTATATGTAGGTCAAAATGAAAGATTGTTCGAACATCTATTGTAAATTTGAGCGTTTAATAAAAATAAACGTCATTGCTTCTATTTAATGACTTTTTCATACTTTCCTGAATAATTAGATATATTTCCGATGGGAATAAAGTAGACAATCCCGACCTTTTCTGAAAGCTCATAGTGTGGACTATTCTGGAATGGCTCCAAGTACAGGGTGTACCACTTGAAAAAAACTGAGATAAAAGTGATCCCGAGTTTTGTATAAAAAAGCGCCGTTCGGCGTTCAATGTATTTTTCTGCTTCGCTTTCTACTTTTAGTGAAGGTGGATTCATGGGTCGGAAAAAACATACTAACTGTTGGTGGTGAATTTGATAAATAAGTTGAGTTAATTTGGCGACAGTTTGCGGTATTATGAAGTTTTGGTTAGATACGTGATACCGAAAAGTTATTTGTCTTGTATTACTTAGAGTTCTTACCCGATATGAACAAACATATACGTCAAAAATCTCCAAGCTTCATGTCTTCTACTTGGATCATAAATAAATTTTTGTGCAGTTATCCCGTTTCCCCTGAGCGTCGAATCCTTCTCGGCGAATTCATCTGTGATGAAGCATGCCACTTCGAAAGCAGACATAAGAACCATAGCTAGTGGTGGAGGCCAACAACTGTAGCTTTCTTCATACCTTCCATCTACTTCGTCTCCAAAATCGCCAGCACCCACCTGCCTGCGTCGTCGACGATGGCGTGGCGGTAGAACAAATTGGATATATCTGAAATAAGCAAATTCATTAATATAGTATTCCGGAAAGGATCAAATTGAATATATTCTAGTTCCAGTGGGTAAGTAAAAATAATAATGGATTCTAGCTTCACGAGTGGTTAGACAGAAAAACTACTACTCAGTGTGCCAGTGCCATTCGCTTAGTGTTCTTCTCTAATTGTTTTGGTGGGTAGTGATATCAGAGTCTCTAATAAACTAGATTGTTTATAAATTTCGCGAAAAGTATGAAAGAAGTTGGTAGGTATATAATGAAAACAGTGAGAACTCACTAGAGCATATAATATAGGGTCTTTCAGTAAACGCTTCCTATCTTTAAATTCAAATAAAACAAAGTGTGTGTAAGCTACCATCGACATTTTTTATTCGTTTGAAATACCTATTGATGCAATTATGTGTGGAATACATCAGGCTGAATTTGACCGATGACATAGGTTATGTTGGCTTTGAGGAACGCTGTTGTTTGTGGCTCATTCGCATACACCTGCGACTTGAGAAAACTCCACAAGAAAGAGTCTAACGGTGCCAAATCGCACGATCTAGGTGGCCAGTTCACCTCCACGTGATATGACCACGTCCTAAAATCGCTCGTGCAAACAATGTGGCATGAACTGTTTGGTACGTAGCGCCGTTCTGTTGAAACCACATGTTGTTGATTTCCAGATCATTCAATTCTAGCCAAAAGAAGTTGGTAACCATCGACCTATAGTGCTTGCCGTTAACAGTAATGGCCTGGCTAACGTCCTTCTCAAAGAAATATGGACTGGTGATGCCGCCAGCCCAAAATCCACACCAGACAGTGTGGATGCATTGGACGCTCTTGGATCTCCTGTGGATTGGTATCGTCCCAAATTCGACAGTTTCGTTTGTTCACGTACTCATTCATCTAGAAATAGGCATTATCGCTGAAGATGATTTCTAGAATAAAATTAGAGCCAACCACTCCAGAGCCCATTCAGCGAATATACGTCGTTGTCTGTGGTCGTTTACCTTCAGTTCCTGGGTCAGTTGAATTTTGTACGGGTACAGGCCCAAGTCACGATGCAAAATTCGCCAAGTTGTGGTCTGCGAAAGACCGAGTTATTGTGAGCGATGCAAAATCAATTGCCTCGGATTCCCCTACACACTCTCACAGACAGCGGCAATGTTTTCGGTAGATCTTGCGTTTCGTCGACGTATGGGTGTTGATCGATCGTTTACTGAACAAATGGACCCAAATTTATCCACCACATTGCGGTAGGACGATTATGGCGACCCTTAAATGGGCGAAACGTGCAGTACGTTGCCCGAACAGAACCTCCATTCTGATAAAAACTTTCATTATTTGCACGGGTTGTTGATCGGTATATCCATCTTTGGTGATTTGGCGAAACAGACTAAATAAATGTCAACTAATTTGTCCGATGTAGCTTCAACAGGATAGCCGTTATCAATTGTCAAAGTTCGGAATAAGTTCCTGTTGGAAGACCATATACAATAACAACTAAAAATATACTTCGAAACTGGAATAGGATATTTGCCCAACTTCATATTCACGTAGTAATATGTTTCTATTGAATTTTTCACAATATTGTTACTTCAAGTTGCTTGATATTACATGACTATTCGGTAAACAGTGCATCACTACAGAAATTTAAAAAAATTATTGAGTACAATATCAAAACTCATATATACTCCAAATTGAAAGATATGACATCTCTACTAGACCTCATTAATTTTGTTCATCGTTTACTGTGACTGGACTGGAATGTGGTATATATAGGTCAAATTAAACAATATTCAAAAAGTAGACACAAATAACATCAGCAATGAGCAAAAAATCCAATTAAATCGTCTTAACTACCGACAATTTCTTCATCGGACCAGAACCTGTCATCGGCATTGCTTTAGGCTTTGCCAAACAAACATTGAACACCTGGATAAGATTTATGAACTTCTGGCAGAATCTTCCAGGACGAGTTCACTCCAAATTTAATATTTATAATAATTAACTGTAAGAAAAACTTTTCTCTCGTGTAATTTCACTAAATTAGGTGTAAGATAATATGAACTAAGTATAAATAAGTATCTATCAACAGAACAATGTGTTATTTGCACTTAGTATTAATAGCAAGTGAAAATCATATATCGTTCTGGAATGTGTCCACAGTTAATCATTGTTGTTTGATGTGTATTTTAGTTTGATTGTGC